CCCCTTGATTGCTCTAGGATTTTCTTCCATTAAGGTAGGGTTTGGGGGTTTTTTTAAATGGAAATGAAACATGATGAAATGTCTGCTCCTGTCCTCCGGGCGTCTTGGATGAATGATGCAGCAAAGTGAAGGATGCAGCACATACAGGAGCTCCAAGGCAATCTAGCTTATACATTAGAATTGTAAGTTACATAACACTTTTCACATTCACAGGGTCTCCAAGCACTTGATAAACATCAGCCATGCTCAACACCACTTTTCTGAGGGAGGTCAGTATTATCACCTCCATTTTACAGACGGAGAAACGGGCACAGCTGAAGTGATTTGCCCAAGATCATATAGAAAATCAGTGGCAGGAACTGAAGCCAGGAGACCTACCTCTAAGTCACCATTGTTATTATTATAAGAGTAGTGCCCAGAGGCCCAGATCAGGACCATGGCCCCATTGTACTAGATGCTTTACCTCCATAGAGGCAGACATAATCCCTGCCCTGACGTGCTTACAGTCTAAGGACTATCCACTAGGCCAAACTCTTGCACCTTTCACCACCATGGAATGTCGCCCCCTCAGTTTTGCTTTTTTGGCTTTGACCTGTACCAGGAGGGAAACTTCCCCACAACAGCCATGTCCTTGCTATCAAAGGGCATATCCTGCACCTATGTTTATACTCATTGTGTCCCTGTTTGCTGCAGAGAAAGTCTCTGTGGGTCCTGCTACCAGCAAAGGGTAAAGAAGGTGGGAAAGGCTAAGCTCAAAGTGACAGCCTTGAAAATAAACTGTAATTCTGCCAACAACTTGAAGTGTTGAGAATTTAGTATATTGAGGGTCAAACCGTGGTCCCATTGAAATCTGTAGAAATGTTGACAGTGACTACAATAGGAGCAGGATTTGTCTCTAAAATAAATAAACATGGTGGAGAGTGCGAGTTCCCCAGATAGATAAAGAGGCACCACCATAATTTACCTGACTGTTCATCTTTGGGGCCTGTACCGTTCGGGACCCAGTTGGGGATGCTGCGCGATAGGGTTGTTACACACTACCCCAGTTTGGGGCCTTCACAAATCCACCAGCCTTCCTGGTCCTCCTGCATGATAAGCACCTTAAAAATACAACACAACTGTCATTCAGTCATGAATGTCAATGCGCCAGTTCACCATTTACACACACATTCATTTCAGAGTAAATTATTAAAGGTTTCCTACAACAGTGAATGGCATGGCATACCACAAACCCATTAGAGAAATTGGGCCGGCTCATCCACCAGCGTAAATGGACACAGCACTGTTAATTATGCCAGCTGATGGGCTAGCCCCGTTTCCAGTGTTCACAAAGCAATTAAAGACAGACAATAAATGATCTAGCTATCCCTTCCCCTCCCCCCCCACTAGAACAAACCTTTAGTGCAAAGCCCATCTGCTTTCTTCAACAGTTTGCCTTTGGGAAAGGTTTGGGGTCATCTTCATTTTGCAAAAAAAACAAAACTTGTATATTATTTATTACCCGTGGCTGATGTGCCATGAGATGTAAACAAAAGGTGCATGTTTTAAATAAATTCAACTGCCAAGACTTACTTGATGGTATTAGAAAATACTCATCAGATTTTTCAGCATTAGCTACAAAGCTAGTTCAAACAACAATGAAACTCTTGGCAGAATTAAGCGGGTGTCTCCTCCTTCCGGGATTCAGATCCAGCCTGGGCCCTAGGCAAAGGAGGGCCGGGGTTATGGGTGTAGCAGCCACAAACCAAGCGTAGGCAGCCTTGGGTGAGATTTGAGCAGCCAGCCAGAATCCCTCCATAGCACACCAGCAGATACACCCAACTAATATGCTGAGGCATGCACCACAACATGAGGGAAGGACATGGAAAATGGGCAGGACTTGCTCCCAAGCCAGCACACGTGTATACGGCCCTTAGCATGGCCAAGGGACCAACCCTACACCCATTTAAGTCAAAGGAAGTTTTGCCATTGACGTCCAACAGCAGCAGGATCAGTCCCCAAGTGAGCAACTAGCACTTACCAAAAAGAACAGCTGCCTGCCATATATGCTACATGAATAGCCCAGACACTAAAAGCTATAGTGGCTCACACCAATACTACAGAGCGCTTTTGTTTTTAACATAGGGGTCCCTTGGAGCATTAGCTTGGCCATCATGGGAAATCCCTACAGCAAAACTCCTGGTGAAGTACAAACACCAGAGTGTGTCTCTCCTTCCTCTCATGGCTTGCTATATTCTAATGAGGCTTAAGGTCCCCTACAAAGGAGTTGTTTAAAATTGGGGCTATGCCCTTTTTTGGCTTCTTGACAATAGATAAAGGTCCAAGGAGCGGTGGGGTTTTCTTGTTTAGCTTAGAAATATCACGTGTCAAGTCTGGCCTGCCCTGGTTTTGCTGGAGGACTTCTGGTATGTCTCAGAGAGGTTTGTTGTGATATCCCACACACTAATTGAAGGGGGTGTTGAATCTGTAACAGGATCATCCTTCTCTCATGTGGTTGTTAAGGCCTAGAGCACCCCTTTCCAGCAGAAAAACCCATGTGAGGGGACTTGAGGTGAGAAATCTCCTTGAGGATCCCCTTGCAGAGATTCTGCCCTGCATCATTCCATTGAGATGGTGGGGTTTGCCTCCTGTGGAAAAGACCACAGGGCCTGCCCCCAAACCTGATTAACTCCCCAGGGATCTGCAGAGGCCTAGAGCCATCTGCATGTAGGCCTAGTGCCTCCACAGTGGCTTTAGCCCATCCCACCCAGTAGGTCCCCACCCCAGAAATTCTCTGGCCTAGCAGCTCCATTGGGTGCCCCACTGGCTACAGCTACTCCTGGGATGCCAGAGGATGGAGGATAGAACATAAAGCCCCAGACTGAATTATTTCTATTGGGCTAGAGTAGGGAAACCTATACCCATCCTCTGCCCACACTCCTGTCCCAGACAGTCCTCACCAAAGGCCGACACAATCTTTCCTTCAACGCAGACCAGAGAGATTCCTACACTGCGTCCAGGAGAGGGGCAAGGGGATCTGGAGATGTCTTAGGGCGTGTTTCAGATGGAAGGGGGAGATTCACGCACAAGATCCCCTTTGCCTGGATCTTCAATGAAGATGTGGCCCTTAGCACTAGAGTTAAACAGGTGTTGAGAAAAGATGAACAAAAAGTTTTAAGCAGTCTGACTAAATATCCCTTCTCAATTGCTCAGGTTTCATACTCTGGCTCTTGTGATTACAATAGCTCTCTAGCTTCCATAGAATCTTGCTAGAGTAGACAAGACCTGAATTTCTAATGGAATAACAAGCACAGGAATCCTCTTTCTTCCCCCACTTTTTTTTTTAAATATATAAAACCCAAAGCTTTTCAGACTTTCTAGATACATCACAAAGAAACAAACCTAAATGAAGTAAAGGTACAAACCCAACATGGTCTCCCATTCTTTAAAGGTGAAATGGTCAAGAGGTAAAAATAAAATGCAATAAATTAAACGAAAAATCCCACACTACAATAATAATGGACCACATTTTTCCCTTGGATGACTTTGGGCATTTATTCCATCAAGGCTGTACCAGGGATAACTAAGACCGTGATTCTGCAACTTCTTCCCCACAGGCAGAGTGCTAAGCCCACATGGCACGCCATTTTGGTTGCTGAATTAGGTCACATGGAACGACATTGATCAAATATTTCAAAGAACAAGAGGCAAAGCCTTATCTTCCACAGGAAAATAATTATTTTATTAAGTATTTTAAAAACAACTACTTAACATTTACTCAAGATAAAAATATTTACAATACCCCACCTTTGAGAAGGCTCCAAAATATAAACACTGTATCCCTCCCTAGAGAACAAAACAAAACAAAATCTCTTCAAAAAACAAAACCCCCAAATCAGGAATACATTCATATTTCTCACTTCTTTATGCTCAAGTAGTTATACAAATAATAGACCTCTGAAACATTTTAACTTTTTAATATATTTATATAATATATATATTTTATATATACATATATATTTATAACAAGATTTTACAAATAAAGGCAACAACTGTATACCAAAAAAAAAAACAATAAAATAAACATGAGAACACAATCTGCAATCAAGCACAGTGCATCTTAACAACTGGTGCAATGGTAGAATGAAATGAGCATCTATATGACATTTACTTTGGAAACAATTTCTCAAAATTAATACGGGAAAAAAAACTGACTGCTTTTTGCAGTTAGTTTCTTTTAAAGCCTAATTGGACACAGTGTTCATCACTGAAGCAACTACTGAATCTGTGGTGCACAGGCCCAAATAGTTCTAAGATTTGTTAATAGGGAAATTTTCACAAATTCTAACTCTATTTAAAATAGCCATTTGGACTAGGGTTTTCAGAGGATCCTAAGAGATTTGGGCACCCAAATCCCACTGGGATTAGGTTCCTTTGGAAAAAAAAAAGTTTTGAATTCTCAAAGGCACTCAAGGGGGCCAATTCAGTGGGTGCAACTCTGTTGACTTCAATTGAATTTCACCCTGTTACAAGAGATCTGGATTTGGCTCAGGAGTGAAACAGTCAGTTGCTGGCTATTCCCCCATTAATGGGGCTTTTTAACCATTTTGCTTTCAGATACACTAGACCCAGAGACACCTATACAGTAGCAGTAAAAGAGAGGTCTAGAGTTAGGTGCAACAAGCAAAGGGATCTAAGGGGATATTTTCTCTTCCCCTGCCCCAACTAGCAGCTTGAGTTATAGAAAGGGATGCATGTTAATTTATTAATTAGAAGTACACCATGTAAAGCTTCTAAGCAGCATCTACATTTTATTCATTTTGTTTTTTAAACATTCAGCAGAGGTGTGGAGAGAAACTTGTCTTCACTCTCCCTGAACCACTGACTGTGCGTTACCAACCAGTGATTGCTACTCTGAATCGTTTTAGTGGGACTAACACCAATGCTTCAACTACTGTGCATGCGTGTATCATTTCAAATACTGGCAACTGGGTGGGGTAACAAATCTGGCGGTGGGCTTTGAAAAGCCCTCATAAGAAGTACCATATTTTTATATTCACAGACCCTAACACCTAAATCTGCCTAATGGAATATTTTTCACAGCTTTGAAATATAATCCTCACTGACTAAGTCAGCTGTTGCTCTGTAGATGGGGAGGGTAAAGGGTAAAGCACAAAGAAAACCTTTTTTTTTTTTTTTTTTAAACTCCCCCGAATGGCTAACCTGGGTGCTTCCTTCATCCTTTCCCATGCTATCTGACAAGTCAGAGAAAAGTGGATTTTGCTTCCTACTCTCAATGACCCTTATCCCCACACCTCAGTCCAGCCGGTATATAAAACTGAAAGAGTCTCAAACTTAAAAAAAAGAAAAGAAAAAGAAAACGGTCACACTGTGCTTAGTCTTTGGTTTCCAAGTTCAAAGGAGGAATCTGCTTCAAAGCTTGAAGCAGAGCTGAGGAGTCGATAGGGGAATGGACTGGTAGTGGAGAAGGAAGTCTCTGAGGCATCAGGAGAGATGGAGAGATTTTATCTGGGTTCATTAGCCCTGAAAGTGCTGAAGCAGAGGCTGGGAGACTTGGGTACAAGACAGGCATGGAAGCCGGGTACCAACACTTCTCCAGCATAGGCAGATAGGCAGTTGCGGATGGTGGGATCAAATAAAAAGGCAGGCACAAAGGAGGCTGGTGAGGGTGAGGGCCCAAAAAACTACTTGAAGAGCCAATCAGATCACTGCTAAAATGGCCTTCGTCTTCTGAAGTTTCCATTCTGGTCCTTTTGGCTGGTGGGTCCTCAGTCTCTTGCTTAATAGAGCTTATTCTCTCTTGCATGGTATAGTTGAGTCCCGTATCCTTTGGAAAATACTGTTGATCAGCGTTTGAGTCACTTTTCTCCAGCTCTCCTCCATACCCACTGTCTGTGTCTGTGTCGCTCCCACTCTGCTCTCCACTGGAGTGTGCAAAAGTCCTCTGTATAACAGGCACACAGTTCTTGCCATAACCCTCAGCAGTTTTGGGCAAAGAGCCAGACTTCTCCTTCAAGTCCACCGTTTTCAGGGGCGCATCTCCAGATTTTCGGCTGGCTCCGCCCTGGAGAACCTCAGAGGCCATTCGGTGCAGATGACTGACCAGCTGAGAAGATTTCAGATCCCTGGTGTTCTCATGCTTTCCCAGGTATTGCAGCACTTCCTTGGCACACATCTGGAAACCAGATCGAAACATTTCCTGGCTGGTATCAAGGTTTCTCGATGACAAGTCACCTGAGGGAACATTAACAGAAATAAATTAAAAATTAACAGAGAGCTAAATAGTTTTATTAATATCATTAAGGTGCACTGGGGAGAGGAAGAAATTTTATCTCCATATTAAGTATCTGTTACAAAACAGCTAGACAAGTGAATTCTACTACAATACGGTCACTTTAAACACCCATTTTTACCACCTCCCTCTAACGGTGAGTGTTTAAATATGTTTTTGATCCTATACTCCTTATACGTGGCAACCACATCAGACACTAGAGTTTAGGGAGAAAATTGCAAAAGTCAGCACAGCGAATCAACCCTGGTATCTCCTCAGAAAGACATCAGTTCCAAAGTCATCTTGCAAATCTGGCTCCTCTGCAGCTAATGAAAGTTAGGTACAAGGGGCCCAATTTATCCCTCATTAGCTGCATACACCAAGGGGGATTAGGTCTAAAGTTCGGGAAGTGACATTGGGTTTGGCTGTGTAATTCTACTGCATATCTAGTGGCTGTTAAAGCAGTAGCAGCCTTTCTAGAAAAGCTGGTTTTAGCCTGCCAGACTCAAGTAAGTGTCACAAAGAGAGGGGAAGGAGGAAACAGATGTAAAACACTCTGGGCCCTTAGACAGTCCCGGGCTGCAAAGCGTGCACTAACTGGCTTATGGAGAAACCAAAAAGAGCATGTAAGAGAGATGTTTTCATATATTAAGGGAGAAAAAAGTCAGGACCTGATCCAAACCCCATTGAAGTCAATGGAAAGACTCCCATTGGCTTTGGATCAGGCCCTCACAGCAAAACTGTACTATAAAATAAAATAACTAGAATCAGGTTGAATTTAAAACTATATTAAATTAACAGCTAGTTATAAATTAACTAAATAGAGGAATGAAAGGCATCTTTTTCATAAATCCACATGCACATAAAGCAGGGTGTGCATGCTAAATAAAAATTAAAAAAGACAAACTTACCCTCCCACCTCCCAAACTAAGTGCCATCAGTAGCCAGTATTTCAAAGATATTGAAAGTAAGATCATGAGACATTCTAGGGTTCTCACATGATACAAACATGACTTGAATACTCACCAGCTTGTAAACCATTCTGTAAAGCAATTATTTTCTGTTGCTGCTGCTCAATGAGATTAGTTAGTGCTTTCACATGCTTCAAGGTAAGTTCAAGAACCACTGCCTTCTCCAAGTGACCTAAAGTCTGGAAACAAATGGGCAGGTTAGTACTTATCCTAGAGCTGGCCATGCTTCAAGGAATCTTAAAAGTTTTCTAATTCATTGTGAAATGAAAAAAGAAAAACAGTTGCAATTTGGGGAACAGGGTTAAAAATGGTGTCTTTATTCAATGAAATCGCTCTGATTGATTTTGAGCAAAAATCTTAACATTTGGAGTCTGATCCACATATTACGTAAACTAAAAATTTTTTTAAAGGGAAGGTTGCAGAGAAGGATACAGTTACATCCTATGGGTATTTTAGGACCAACTGCATAGCTCTCAGCCAAGTATTTTATTTTATCTGTTCTGCTGCCCCTGCTGGCATTGCGACCTTAACACAGGGGAATCCAGTCAAAGGGTTTCTTTTGAACGGTGACAGAAGAGGGGAGTCCTGCAGGATGTCAGCCAAAGTGGCTTTCTCCAAAAACTTCTGCAGGGATTTTTTTCTTTTAATTTTAATCAAGCACCTAAGCCTTTATTCTTTTTAAAACAAGGCACCTCACACACACTAGAGAAGCAAAAGTTGCGGTCCTTAACATCTCTCGCAAAACAAGAACGCAGAGAATCCTTTCAAATACCCAAAACAGGTAGCATGGAAACAAACTCTAAAAGGACTTGACTTTCAGTTAAGTTAGGGATCAACTTATAAATGGAATCCAGTAAAACTTCAGAAAGAGCAACATGGAACTTTTTCAGTGGCTCAAATGGAAAAACCCAAATCCCTCACCTTCAAATCAAGCCCACAATAATCACTTTTACATGAGGTTTCATTTTAACATTGCAGCAGTTCAATTCATATCACCCTATCACCACCAAAGATATACACTGTTTAAAAATTTACAGTATCTGGAAGGAAATCCATTAGTAATAGACTGATCGAAGTGGCAAACCTGCCCAAATCGCAGCCTTTTCCACTTTGATCTGCAGTGCTCAGAGGAAACCTTTAGATGGCGCATCTACCTGCACAGAAATCCATTAACCAACACACATCCCCAAAACGAAAAGGAGTTTGGATATTAGCCAGATTTTCACTTACTGTAAGTTTGAGATGTTCTGGTAAGAGATCTTTCAGTTGGGCAATGCACTCATTAATCCTATCACGTCTCTTCTTCTCTATCAGTCTGTGGGGCAATTTATAGGTCTCCTGGAAGCCAAAGGAAAGGAGAAAATCAGACAAGACACAAGATGACTTCTAGCACCATGGATAGACACATAGGTAAAAGGTGATCTAGAAATAAAACTAGATCTCAAGCTTTTGGGTACCTAAAAAGTATTATGTGTAGCAGCTACTAACTGACTGATTTTCTGTCATAAGAATTATTAAATTAATGCAAAAATATAGTCCCCTCCTACCTTCTGAGCCTCAAATTCGGGGACAAGAGGTACAAGTGCAACAGTCTCAGAGCAAAAAAACCCCAACCACTTTGATTCAAACTGTCTGATGTTAAAACAACCCCTCCTAAACCCCACAGCAAATTTTATAACGGTTAAATCTTAGCTGAGCTTTATGCAAAAGCAGATTTAAAACAAATCAGAACAGACACAAATGCATACCCCTTTTTAAATGGACAGGTGTTAACTAAGAATGCAAAGGTTCCGCAATTCCTCCATTTACCTTATTGTCTTCACTTTTTTTTAACCCTCTCCTGGGCTTGTACACTTGATACATGTGAGAAAAGGCCAGCCTGCACAAATGACACAAAAAGGCGATGGGGTTATTATTATTTCCTGCACACTGAGAGACACAAATGCGTCTGACAACGATCCCCACAGGCACAGGGTGAAGGATCTGAAGCTCCAGTCAAAGCCAGCGGCCACATTGCGCCCGTGGGTTTGCTGGGGAGGGCACTGGGCGCGCTGGCCCCAAGAAACGCACCACTGAGGCGGCATCTTACCCTGGCATCTCGCTGCTCTCCAGCGCAGGCAGCTTGCCCAGGCAGGCGGGAGGCGGCTGGGCGCTGGGGATCATTTCCATGTCAGCTTGGGAGGCTTTGTGGGGGGGCGGGGGGGGCTCTGCTGAAACTTAGTCTCGCCGAAAGCAGCGAGATCAGTCAGCGCCGGGGGCGCGGCGAGCTCCTCGGAGAACCCCGCGGCTCTGGGCACCGCTGGCGTCGGGACCGGCTCCGGGGCTGCAGACGGACGGCTCAGGGCGCGCTGCTCATCTCCGCGCGGCCGGGGCAGGGCGCGAGCTGAGGAGTCGCTGGCAGGCGGCAGGCTGGGTTAAATGGGAGCGAGTGGGTGGCGGGCGCTACGTGTTCTACCCTGTGACTCCCGGCACGTCTGGCGGTGCCGGGGCGGGAGAGCCCTGCCTTCCCCCATCACATGAGCCTCACGTGTTGGACAACGCTCTGGCCTCCCCCCCGCCCCCCTCCTTCCTTCCTCCCTGCCCCCGCGGCTCCGCGCGGCTGCCAGCGGCTCCCAGCCACACACGGCAGGCGGCGGTTGCCGCCGGAACGTGATGGGGCGACACCTCCGCCTGGCCGGGCTCTCCCGCAGATGGCTGGCGCGTGTGCCCGGCAGAGAGCGCGGGGGGAGAGGGGGGCTCCCCTCACGCGCACCCGGGGGGGGGCTCCCCTCACGCGCACCCGGGGGGGGGGCTCCCCTCACGCGCTCCCGGGCTGTAACGTCCCCAGCGGCGCGCGGACCTGGCCCGGGATGCCCGGGAGGAGCGGGCGAAGGGGGCTCGGGCGCCGCCACCGCGCTCTCCTGCCCGCCTCTGAGGGGGGGGGGGTCAGTCCGGGTCCGGCGGGGCGGGACAGGGACCCTGCCTCTCCTTTCCCTCGCTCCGCTGGCCCGGCTGGGCTCGCCCCCGATTGACACGGGCGGAGCAGTCAGGCGGGTTGCGTGGCCCACCCCTGGGGAATTCGCAGGTCGCTGGGACCGGGCGGCGGGGGCGTCTCTCCCGAGGGAGCGGTGACTCCCAGAGGGCATGAGGGACACAAGCGGGGTGGCGTGTGGGAGGGGCTGGTGCCAGGCCGGTGCAGAACTGACGAGAGCTCGCAGGGGAGGGTGGTGTGGCTGGTCTGAGGGGAACCAGGCACTCCCGTCCCTCCCAGTGGCTTTCTCTATTCGGAAAGCAACTTACTTGGCCTCGGGCACGTCACTTCACTACTCAGCTTCGGCTTCCCTCTCTGTAAAAGGGGTGGTAATAAGGTAACCCTGAATTACCCACGTCACAGGGGTGGTTTGGATTAATTAGTTGGTACGTGTAAACGCCTTCTGAAGCGGTGTTCTTCCCAGCCGTGTGGGCAGCACTCCAGGTTCATGGAAACCAGCAGAGGCAGAGCATGCCGGCTGCACCTGACTGCAGCGTGTCTAACTGATTCTCCACCTTCAGTGGGATAAAACGGGGGAGGCAGTCATAAGACGACATGCCAAAAATGCCTCTTCTGAGTGCTTTTGACTGAAAATCCCTGCAAGCAGCAGGGAGATGACAGTCACAGGGCCCCTGCTGCCACCACAGGCAAATGCTTTGCCACCCCCTGAAAGAGGCTGGCTACTGCAGCTGAGCCATTACATAATAATGGCAGCTTTCCAGTAGGCATAGACACAGAACATGCCACATCTGTCATCAGGTAATTTAGCTGTTTTTTTTTTTTTTAAAGTCTATAGTTTGTAGTAATCTTGATAAAATTCTGCATAGAATCTGACAAACTGCACTATCTTCCATGTGCGTTTCTGCAGTCAGTGGGGAATACCCAGCCCAAATGTCAAGGCTTGGGAATGCCACTGAGAGTAACTGGTATTAGGAGTGCAGGGCTTTGTGTGAACTGTAGCCATGAGCAGAGTAGCACTCAGGCATGATGTGGGCTGAGGGAACTGCAGCTGAGCCAAGGGCAAAGGCAGAGTAGCCAACAACCAGATTTAGTGATGTGCCCCATTGGGGCAGTTGTCGAGGTCAGTGGCTGATTTAAGACAACTGGTAATGTGAGAGGGGACACGGGGGGCAGGGAATCAGAGTGTAAATTACAGGACTGAGGCTGCTGTAATTTAGGCCTGATCTCCATTTAAAAAGTTTTACCAGCATAACTATGTATGATTTTTGTACTGACATATTTATGCCAATAAAAGCCCTAGTGTAGACCCATTGTAAGGCACTTACCTGTGTACTTGATTTCACTTTGCTGAATCAGAATAAGCCTAGTTAAAGCAGCAACACTTTTATCTATAGACGAGGCCTCAAACAAGGAACCAGGAATGCCCTGTACAGCCTCTGAATTCCCCAAGAGAAGGAACAGAATAACGGGGAACTAGGACCAGCTAGGTAAGAATGGAACTGTTTTATATCTCGTAGGTGTCAAGGGAGGTTTTATTCTTTGATCTTTGTTAAGCAGTTGAGACTCTTGGCTGCCAGCTGTTCTGCAAAGGCTAAGGATGATTATAGTGAAGTGTAACTGCCAAAGCAAACCCTTTTGTTTTGGGGGTACGTGGTCATTTCCCCTGCTACATGCTGAACAAGGAGAGGCCAGATCACCAGATAGAAGGTATATTTACCTAGATAAGGTAATAACAGAACTTTAGCACCCAGGGTTTGTCAAAGATTTCTCTATCTCCTCTGAGAGTCTTGTGGCTAGGAGCCTACGGTCAGCAAGTACTTTGCTGGAGACTAGAGACGGCATTTGTTCTAGAGCAGGTGGCATGCTCATTTCCGGATACACCGTCATTTGAATGCATGTGTGGTGGCAGAAGTGCTACAAGAGTTTAGAGTTGTAGACTTGTTACACTAGAAGGTGACTCAGTTAACGAAACTCTATCAGGACAACGTAGGCCCAAAACGGAGGTTTTGTAAAAATCTTACTTGTAAGAAAGAAAAATTCCCCTGCGGTGTCTGCAGCCTAAACAGTACAGTATAGCTACTGACCGAGAACCGCAAAATGAAGCTAACTATTCTCTCACTGAGTATTGTCTCATCTGTGTTTTACAGCCCAACCCTGCAGTTTCTACCAAGCATAGCATTCACTATCCTGATCAATCCACTGATTTCAAGTGTCTGCAGGGTTGGGCCCTTCAGCCATGATCCTGCAAACTTAAGTATATGAGTAGTCCCATTGACTTCAAAGGGACTACTCATGTGCCTAAAAAGTAAAGCATGTGCATAAGCATTTGCAGGATCAGGGACTTAGATCGAAAGCTCTTCAGAGCAGGAATTGTCTTTATTAATGTTAGCTACAGTGGTACTTAAATAAATTCAATAACAATTATTACAAAAGTGATACTAACTCTGTTGTTAATTGCTAAAGCAGAGATTTGTAAAGCAAATAAATAGTGGAAAAATAAATTAGACATTTAAAATCCTTTGTTTTAAAGCTCTAAGTTGTTGTACCACAGTTAAGGGCATTTAAAAATCATATATAGATATAGCTATATAATTTTTAGCTGCTAGCGTACTTTCATTTATTCCTCTCTCCATACTTCTCTTTATCAAACAATAGAAATAATTAGGGTTATGGTAGGGGATTGCTAATGGAACATTCTAGCTTTCTAGTTCAGGGCCAGATACTGTTCACCTCCTCTAAGTTTTAAATTTAAAGTAAAAATATATTTGAACTAGTTCATGCCCACTGGTTGTTTGACTCGTGTATGTTCTTTGAGACAGTATATTCCTGCAATGGATGGTGACCTAGAAATCCAGATCAGAGGTAATCCCCCATTATTTAGCCCTTTTACTATTGGTATGTTTGCCAAACAATGCTCCATGTCAGATTTCACTGATGACCTTAAGGGTGGTTGCCAAGGATTTTGGATTCCCCCCCCAAAAAGAGAGTCCCAATGCAGTTATTACATTCTTGGGCATCAAGTTAGATTGAGGGAGAATTAAATTACACTTTCATGAGGTGCCTGGCACAGCTTTCACAGGCTGATGCAATCATTAATTTGTCACCTTGATTTTGTTTGCAGAGCCATTTCTCCATGGCAGACTTTTTTTACAATGCCCGATTGAAGCTATAATGAAATGTTAAAAGTAATGGCATTATTTTCTAGAGCTATTAAGGGAGAATCTGGCATTTCCAATGGTAGTTATAGAGCATTTGATGTCATAGGATAACAACAACTTGTGTCCAACAAGGATTTGTAGTTATTTACAGATGTGTTAGCAGGAAAGGGTTTGGCTTTTGTTTTTCCAGGTGTGCAGAGGTCTGGCTAACAGCACTGAGTTAATGGAGCTCTACCCCCGGAACATTTCCCCCCATAATTATGGCAATGGTAATTTTGGGTAAAAAGTTCTTCAAATCATTGGCACTGATATCTGATTTAAGAATATGTGGGGAGTTAACAGATGGGCAGTGGATTCAGGCCTGCGATAGAGTTACTGAGGGAGGTTTTGTTTTAAAATGTCTCTTACTTAATATACCCATGAAGGCCAGGCATGTGCCCATGGGCTGTAATCAAATAACTGACTCTCCCTCTCTCATTTCCAGCAGTCTCGTTTCAGGTTACTGGCACCGGAGGTTAAAGAACAGCCACGTCAAATACCAAAAGCCCTTTGGTAACTAAGGGTATCGAGACTAGGAGGAGGAGAATGGAAGTGGCTAGCTCTCAGCACATGATAGATCTAATCTAAGGGCCTGTATAATTAACATACATTACTTTCTGCAGGAGTAAAGGTTTATATGGGATCTGGTTCATTCTAATATAAGAGATAGTCCTGTCTGCATTACACAGGAGTGGCGGAAGCTAGGCTTATTTCCTGGCTGGTCTTTAGTTAGTAGGTGCGGCAGTTCTGTTCCCAAGGCAGGCAGGTCCCAGATCTCAGCTCCAGTGTTTGCAGTGAGAAGAATGTTAAAGGGCTAAGGGAGGCAACAGGGAGTTGTCAGGTAGACAACACAGCATCATTCATCAAGTACTGACAGCTTTACTGGAAACCAAAGACAAAATGTGCAATAGTTATGCTCCTGGGTAAACGTAGCATTCATTATGTCATTTTTAGGAGTGTTCAGAATCAGTGACTCAGTTGGTCTCTAAACGAGACCTAGGAATGTTATTTCTCAATATTGTCATGGATGAGTCTATG